CTGTAGTATCATACAAGGATGGCTCAACCATAACAAGGAAAACTATGATGAGGTATACTTACGGAAAGGTACGCATTTACAACTCTTATCAATAATATTATGAAAGCACTGGTTTTTATTCCTAAATGACAAAAAAAAAATGAAAACAGCATTCATGCAGCACAACGACGAATGCAGCAGCATTTCTAACAACCTGTCTACAAAGTCAGTTGTATTCAATATTGTTCAGCCTCTTTTGTTTTTTTTTGTTCATTGTTCGATTTTTCATGGTTACTTTTTTGGCTTGTAACTGCATATACATTTGAGTAATTGTGTAACTGGAATATTAACATTTGGACTATTATGAGATTTTATTTGTTTTGTATACATTTTTGGAATCATTGTATGTGGTTCACTGGGTCCTCAGTTGAATTTAAAAGATTCTCTTGACTTCTCTGAAGTAAAAATAAAGGCCATTATTATTATTATTTATTACAACATTCACTGCATGTAGTAACACAATATCAGTTAGTAGCTTATACATACACCATCCCAGAAGATATAGGGCCAATTTCACCAACAACAATTCCATGCTATTCAATCACAACACGGTGACTTGTGTGGTTGTCAGCGGCCATTTTGTGAGGGTGTGACAGGGTTGCCAGATTGTGCATTAATATCCCGTTTCACCCTCCTGGTCCCAGTGGAGTAAGTTCCACCAACTGTTGAAATATACTCTACTAGGCTTTATAAGACTATTCGTGACATTTTTCCCAAAATCGTTGCACAACACTTGAAAAAATGCAAATGAAAATTTAAAATTACTTCCATGACGCCGCAAAATAGCTCCGTCGGTACCTTGGGTTATCCATCTTGACAGTAGGGATGTTCGATTTGATCCTATATTTAAAAGTATCTTTACATTTCACGAGTATCGTCATCTTTCGATCCGGACTGTTTCAGAAAGAGTGACTGCCATTTGGCTGCGACATTACCCTGCTAAATCAGACATATCTTTCATCATTTTCAAAGAAAGTGTACAAAATCTTCAAATTTGTGAAGTTAGCGAGTTTCACTTCATACGTTCTTACCAGACATGCCCAAATCATCAGTTGCTGCCGTAATATTCATCCCGACCACTGCATCCCCACGGCTAGGCGACCTGTATGTTAAATTTGTATTGACAGGGCAGCGGGTTATGCTATAAATCATGTCACAGTGTTTGTGCATTAATTGCAACGGTTGGATGATACCAAAAATATTTTCATAAATAGGAGATCTTTCCCATTCCGGATCGAACAATCTACCAAAGATGCTTATAATCATGATACCTAGTAAATTTTCACGAAAAAAATGCAAAACCAGCAAATGTAAAAGATTCATTTTGCACCCTCCACCACGGGACGTGATCGTCGTTAGACTTGGCAACACTGCGAGTGTCAGATAGATATCCCCGCCAGTCAAAAAAAAATAGAGAAACAGTAAACATTACTAGTTTTTTGATTTTTGAACTTAACAGCCATTATCTGTGAAACATTTTTCATAATTTTTTGTCTATGTCTATAGTAATTGCATTATGCATCAGGGAGATGTAGGGATTGATACGTCTTACACATATCATCTGTGTTTTAGGATGGAGAGGACATAATGTTTTTATTGTTTTGAAGAAATTCATTAACCCATAAATTAATAAATTATTACTATTATGACGTAAAGGAAGATGAGGAATTTGATGGAATGTATTTTATAATTTTATATTCTATTTTCTTGCAAAATACAGACAAATCCACACTATTCAACAGGTATGTAATGATAACTTTCAGTATATTGAAGTTGGTAAATGCGAGAGTTCCATGCATTAACAAACGTCCAAATCTGCTGCCAAATTTAACAGCTAGAAAATCGAGCTATTATTTGCCGCATTACCATTTTCTGTACAAAAGCATCATGTTGGGATCAAAAAGTGGTCTTGTTTTATAATACAGTCGAATTTTCACGATTTTATTCAATATATCAATAGAAATCACCGATATTCTGAGAGCTTTGACAGCTTCCGTCAAATTGCATTTCGATAAGGTATTTTCCCATTGGTCCATAATATTAATGTTGGTGAAATCGGCCCATAGTGAACTAAATAAAAAGACTTACCTCCGGCAAATGGCGGCAATGGTACCTTGGCAAACTTGACATCCAACCCTTCTAGAATCGCCTTACGCATTCTCTCCACTTTCACAACTCTCTCGATGTAGTTCTCACACACTTCGAGGATATTCTTCGCGTGTGCCGATCTGGTCAAGGTATAGTGGAACAGCTTGCCATCAAAGTACAGCCACGGGCAGCACATCAGCCACGGTAGGGGAGCACCGCAAGCGTCGTTAGCCAACAGCGCCATCTCTACACCTTCCATGAATAAGGCAGCTAGTTGTACACCTCTGGATGTTACTACATTTAACTGCAAAGACACAGTTTGTGATGCAAAATTAATTTTTTTTATATATATATATATAAAGCTTTCGCCTTTTGTTGGGTACTTCGACAAAATTTAAGCAAAATACTTTATCAATCTCTCTAGCTTTCAATGGACTTTGCCATCATCATCAGGAGCTGCAATAACAATGAGAAAAATAGCAACAATTGTGCAAAATGAATTTTAAATTAACTTACAGTAGTATGTGAGGATGCTGCTAAATATTATTTACGTTTACGTTGAGGGACATACCCAGTAACCAGGTGAAAACTGGATACATGGTACAATCGTCAAAATTAATACAAACTACACACAGCTGTATGTCAAGAACAAATTAAAACGGATTAAAAATATTTAAAACGCAAGTAAAACATTACATCGTGAACCATGTTACTGCAGCTCCTGATGATGATGGCTAAGACCATTGAAAGCTAGAGAGATTGATAAAGTATAAAGAGTCCTCTTTGTTTAAATTTTGTCGAAGTACCCAACAAAAGGCGAAAGCTTTAATTTTTCACCTAACTGGTCTAGACGACAATGACCACGTCTCAATATATATACAGGGTGACTTCGAAGTTGAGTCATTTATTTTAACAGTGAGTAGATCTGATCAAAAGAAATGTTTTTTTCCTTTACCATTTTTCTGGTAAAATTAAAGTAACAAAGTTATAGCCCTTTGGAAGTTTGAGTACCGCCCTGTCTCAATGTGCTCGTGTTTGGCGACAACGGATATAATCCGTCGTATCGGTTCATCGCATCGGAAACAAAAAAGCGAAAGAATTTGGAACGAATTATTTCATTCATTTGTATACGTAAGTGTCAGTGAATAGTTGTATCTGTTGCGTGGCTCAAACGAAATAAAAAATGGCACATGTTTATGCGGATCGGTTTCCCAATCGAGTGCAACCAACCCCTCGTGCCTTTGTTAATGTAGTACAACGGGCTCGTGAATCAGGTGACTTAAGACCTCACAGGGGACCTCACGATCAAATACAGGTCCGCACTGAAATACTTGTCGGGAGGATACTTTATAAAACAAGGTAAAAATTTTTTTTTAATTTTTTTTTTTATTTTTACACACATATTTTGGTTTATATTCCTTCTACAATCATTATCTGAAAATTAATGACTCAACTTCAAAGTCACCCTGTATATTGATCTGTGTGGCTGGCATTCGAGTATCTTCATGGAACAAACGATTAATGTAGCGATCCAAAACATAATCGGTATTTTTCCGTCTTCCGCACCTGGGCCGCAATGCTGTTCCTTTGTTCATTTTTAGTCTTTGAGAAATATCAACATTTCTGACGCCACTTCTAAATAATTCAATCACTTTGTCTCTTGAATACAAAAACGTTACAAAAACTGTGGTATGTAAAAAAAAAACGCGTGTTTTTATTTTCAGAGAATTTGAATATTGATAAGATAAACCTTGTATTAGTACGGGAGCCTAAGCTAGACTCTAATAGTTACATGTTCCTTCAAAATTTTAATTTAGGCATATGAAATAAATAATGTTAATACTTGTTTCCAAAGTTTTGTCCGCTACTATACACATATAAATCAGTAATTTGTGTAACAGTGTAATGTGTAACATCTGAAACTAGTCCTATGATTTTCATGCTAATAATCCTCCTTGTTCTCAAATTATAGATAACAGTCCCTTTTTCGATCTGAACCTTGTAAAATGCCACAGAGGTAGCCATGAAAGTAAAAACTCAAATCTATATAGTAGTTTCATTTAACAGCCAGAAAACATGGAGAATGGAAAAATAGTGATATATATCCAAATATGAATAAATAAAAATAAAACAAAAAATATGTTTGTATAAACAGGGTTATACAGGGTGTCCAATAAGTACCATGACAAACTTAAGAAGGTAGGCTTTGAACTGACCTCCCAAATAACAAAAACTTACCAATATAAAAGTGTCACCGTTTTTGAGATATTGAATTTTTCTTAAATTTTAAAAAACGAACCTTTTCATCTGAAGTCTTTAACTGCATGTACAAATAACGTTATACTTTGGTTCATTTTTTCTATAAAATACTTCTAGATAGTTGCTTTATCATATACAAATGCAATGTAGTTAAAAGAGGACTGTTTTAGTACTTATAACCCTCTGATATTGTTTCCTCAACTTTCATAAAATCATATCAGGAGCAGGCAATAATAATGTAGCTTTTTTGTACTATTTAGCATGTCATTGATCGGTAACCAGTGCAACTTGAATTTAAATCAAATAATTACATTTTAGTGTGTGTCAGTCACTTACAAAAGTAGCTATCATTTTTTTCTATTCCAAATAGTACATGTGGTGCCTTTCTGAAATCTGTATTTCATGAACAATCTTTTTATTCAATATAATGCAGTTGTAGCCCAGTACCTTTTTGTTTCACCACAGATAGTCAAAGTTGAGGAAAAAGGTTATAATTCCCAAAATAGTCCTTATTTGATCATGGTTCCTTAATATCTTTTAACTGCATTGCATTTGCATATGATAAAGCAACTATCTAGAACTATTATATAGAAAAAATGAACAAAGTATAACCTTATTTGTACATGCAGCTAAAGACCACAGATGAAAAGGTTGGTTTTTTAAAATTTAAGAAAAAATTCAATATCTCAAAAACGGTGGCACGTTTATATACATAGGTAAGTTTTTGTTATTTGGGAGGTCAGTCCAAAGCCTACCTTCTCCTTAAATTTGTCGTGGTGCGTATATGTATTATAAAGACTCTAAATGAAGAACGATCTGTTGGGTACATTTTACCGTTGCACAGTATCAGGAATTGAAGCATGAAATAGGTTGGAAGAGGTATTGAGGAGTAATAATTGTTACCCCCTCCACAAGTGCTATGTCAATTGGGTGACTTTTGACACATTTATACAATTTCTGATGCATAACCATAAATGGTCTGTTAGAAAAAAGGATTTCCACTCCCAGGTATACTGGGTATCAATAAAATATGACGGTTGGCGGATTCCGCTTCCCAGGGATCTACGGGTGTACAAGTTTTATAAAAAAAAAGGTATTAAAAATATGTAATCTGAGTTACTTTAGAAGAAGTAATAGACTTACAACATCTACTGCATTGCAGATAAGTCAATATCCTTCCGTATCACACCAACACTGTGAAAAATACTTGCAGTGTTGGTACTTGGTGGAAGGTAAAAATATAGACATATGAAAGCCTTACCGTTAATTCTTGCAAATACTGTGGGTTCATCAAGTTAGGATTAAAAGCATGGCAAAGGAATGCATCGAGTTCATGTCGCCTCATGATCGGCCTGTCCTGTGACATTATGTATCTCAGAACGCACGCCATTATCAACATGTGTTGAGGTACATACGCGGTGTTCAGTATCAGCGGTGTATCCGAATTGAGGCATGATAGTAAAGCTCTCATCCTGAAAGTAAAATAAAACACATTGTAGGACCATGAAGAATTGACACCATACAGTAGTGTACAAAATCCCAGGGTTACCAGAAGGTAAGTCGAGTAAACGGCCGATTTTTAGTATTTCTGCCAAACGCTTTAAAGCTTCATACAAGCTGTCCCGCTATAAATTGATCTCTTTTTTTTCGTATGGGCGTTTATAAAAAAGTTTTAGACAAAAGTTATAGTCTAATATAATTTTTTTTTCGCGTAATGTTATTTTTGTGTAACGAGTATCTCGGAAAAGTCAATTTACATTTTCTAAATAAAAATGGTTTGTTATACTAGTTTCTATTAATTTAGTAAGAAACAAATTTTGTGTATTGATACATATGTTTAAATGACACACAATTTGTTTCTTTTAATAAAGTGAGAAAACAAGTATGATAAACCACATATATTTGGAATCATAAAAAATATACAGGGAAGTCCGTTTAAAAATACAACTTTATGCAAAAAAGCGTTGCGCTATTACGCTCATACAAAGAAGTTAGAGGTCAATTTATAGTGGGAAACCGTTTAAAAATTTAAAAGGTCTGGGCGAGGAGGGCAGGAAATGTTTGGCTGTGCTGGATATTACTCCGAAATAATCTTACTTTAACAAGTATACATAAATGCTACATAATGCTTCAGGTTTTGTTATTAAAAAAATAAGGTACGTCTGGCAGCCCCGTGATCGTATAGTGCTTCTGAACAAGCTATATTTTCACTGTCCTGCTATATTACTACTCATGTTTGACATCTCCGACCTGTTTACATGTACTGCAAATCAGATTTTCAAATCATTGGAATCTTTATGTAATGTAAGCTACTGCGACGCGTTTCAACTTTGTCTGTCATCGTGCCTCTTTTTGTAGCATTTCTGATGAAAAATTTTGGAATGCATGTGTCTACACATTGCCAAGATGTAGTCGTGATATAGCCGATATAGTCTACATATAACTGATATATCCGAAATATAGCCGGAGCATAAATACTGCTTGATCTGATGCTCCATTACTCTAATGAAGCGCCTAAATGGGCAATATTTTTACTGCATTATCTAGCTTCAGCCAGTAAAATATGGCAATATTTTCAGTCTGGCCAAGCCACATTGTTACCAAGCTTCAAATGTTTGACTTTTTAGATCTATTTCCTTAAATTCATGTCAAGTTCTCGAACTATCAAAAGGTAATCCAAGGTCGAATCCATAATCTCGTCTTTGTCTTTTAGGTTTTCGATTTTTCTCTCAATACAATGAAGGCTGTCGCGACACATGCAATTGCCGATTCTGTCGCCCATCTGGTAATAAATTTTATCAAGTGAATGTGCCTACGTATTGCAGGCAATATTGCAGAGACATAGCCTCCATAGTTATAAAAAAGAACTACAAAATCAGCGATCATGCTTCGTCTTCACTGTAGTGCGCTTCTGCCGCTGTAGAATACCGGTTTATTTTGGTAGTTACATTCCATCACAATATCGTTTTTACAGATGAGGCTTCATCTTTAAAGATAAGACATGGTCGACGGTGAAAGTTCAGCACTTTTTCTCCCAAGAATGACTCAGAGGCTCCTCCATCAGTGTTTACGAATATAGTTCTCTGAAAGGTAATAGAACCACTGCCACTTTCTATCAATTATTCTACTCCATCCCTCAAGGCGAGAAGGACGCCAAAATGGAAGCTCTGAAAGACATTCAAGAATCTCTTGAAAGACTATTTAACTGACTATTTGCCTTACGACTTATGATATTACTTAGGAAAATAACTTTTATAGTGTGGGAAAATATTGTGATATATTATTTTTTACTATTTAACTGTTTTTTTGTTAGATATATTTTTTTTGTCAAGGGGAAATAAAATAAGTAATTGGAAGGACCATGTTTAGCAGTGGTAACTGTTCACGGCAGAACTGCAATGGATGCTCGCCTTCAACGATGCTTGAACATCGACATTTTTTACTCTGTAGAAGATTTTTGAATGGATATTTAAATGTCATACCTACGACGTTTGTCGTCTACAGAAGGCCCAAACCACAATCTTTGAAGAGTAGGTACGGCCCATGGAAGGGGCTCTGCCTTCACTTCCTCTGCATACTGATAAGGATTCGATCGACTATAGATCCATTCTTTCACTAAAATATCCGGCTGGGGGACATTTTCTGGTAGCTCTCCAGATTCTATATAAATACAAAGTATATGTTAATAATATAAACGTGAAACGAATCGATTTTACAAATTACTAACATTTCTCATCATTTAAAGAAGAATATTGTTCATCAATTGTCGTATGTCCTTCGACTGACTCATAGTAGTTCAAACTCCATCAAGTGTGGTGAAGATCAAACATGATCCCTTCACCCTGACTATGGTGCTAGAAGTGCTTGCATGCGCTAAACGTCACCATTTTCATAATTACGTTATGACCAGCTATAGAATATTCTATTTTGAGAATTCAAATTATAGATGTGCAGTTTAGCTCACGCTAGGCGGCGCTAATGTGGCTAGAAGTCAACTGTCAAGAGAAGATGCGAAAGACATTTAATGGAAACGTAACTTATTTTTCACAACGTGACTTCTTGATGTTTATGACTTCTGGGTCTGTTTATAATCTTAAACATAATTTCCAACCCAACTGGTGCCACCTACTTCTAGCTTCCAGATTACGACAATTACTGGCGATGGTGAGAATATCATGTTGTCCTTTCACTAACACAGGATTATAAGGTACAGTGATGCATCAACAAAGCTTTGAAAACAATCGAGACAAACTTAAGAAAGCTGGTAAACTGTTGGCAATTTAATACTAGGGTTCACTGCCTATTGGACTGAAATTTGGTTTTACCAAATATTGGCCCAGCTTGGACCATTATGAAGACGACATTAAGATATAGCAAAGATATATTGCACTTTAATTATAAATTTGATTAACTACAGAAACACGAAATAATGAAAAACATTACAACTCACCTTTCTTCTTGGCATGCACATATCTAAGATGGTGAAGGTTGAACAGTACGGCATAGACCCGCTTTCTAAGTGGCCCATATATGTCATGGATTGGTGGGAACTCCCTGTTTCCCTCATCTTCCATGAGACATGGCAAACGCACTTCTTGAGTACTCAGTACGTGTAGGATTGTGGGTGCCATCAAACCTTTTGATGACGGAGAGAAGCGGTGCGCAGAACATCAGGTGAAACGGAGGGTGTCACTGCATTGTTACTAACTGAAAACAGAATGGGACATATTTGATATTTAGCGTCAAGTCCATTCAAGTCTCAGAAAACTTGTAAAGGACATTATTAGACCGCCAAACGCGTTACGCCCTTAGCATCGGAAAAAACGCATTTTTTGATGTTATACGCACGCGATATACAATGGCTAGGTACGGCCGCCGCCTTACAACCGCGCCAAATATGCTCGGTTTCTATAATGCAATGCGTCAAGTATTTAATGAAATATCTGTACGAACACCACCCCCCACTTCAATATTCTGCATCCGCCATGTTTGACAGTAGATTCGTCTCTATAACTTGGGTCTACATCAAAACATACGTTCATATGAGATCAAATGATCCAATCAGTGTAACCTACTGTAACATTTGATAAGTACCTATATGACCATACCAAAAACTGACAACCACGTTCTTTGAAAAAGTGTCATAAGAAATTTCAGGATATCCAAAATTAGTTCATTTTAGTTCACACGCCTACTGGCGAGGAAGTACTGTAATCGCGAAAAGAGTCGAAAATGTTTTTAGTTATAAGACATGTACAGCACAAAAAACCATGTCACTAATTTCATTTGGGGTGTCTGTTCCCTAATCATTGACCCCTCTATATCTTGGAAAGTCTTACTCAGATTTGGATGAAATTTTAACCCAAGGTTACTACTATGCTAAAAGAGCTTTTTAGTCTTTGAAAATCGGTAGTGGCGGCGGAGAAAAATGCTAACAAAGAAAAAAATTGCTCAAATTCTGTATTTTGACGTGTCAGAGGATCCTGATAATTTTTGAAACATTTTTAGGGCGGACTGGGAGGGTGTATCAGTTTTTTGATGTTAGTATATTAACACACTACTAAACCCGGTAATTACAGGCACTTATTAGACATCTTTCAGACATCATAGATTTCCCCGAACATTTGTCCTTAAATCTTAAAAATACCTTCAGCAGATGGATGTCTAACTATCAGTCGCACTTGCGGTGTGCCATGGAGTTGTAAATATTGCATCTTTGGAAAAGGATCCTAGGGACTTATAAAAGTAGGTGACACGATATGCACATACGAGGTATGCGCGATATCATCTATACATACGAGCAATATGCTTGATCAATTGCGTGAGGTGATCAAACAGTTTTACACCAAAGCTTCAAAGAAATGAGACGCCATGTACAGACATGCTCATTGCTGAAATTTGAGAAAAATTGTCTCCACGAAAAGCATAAATATTGCACTAATGGTTCTGACAAAACCTACATCTTTTTGATGTCATTGCATTAAATGGACAATTGTACTGGAATTAGTTTCGAAGGCCATGGAAGTATAGAGTCAATCTACCAGATGCCATTTTTTATCTCAATATGACATAGATAATGACCTCAGATTGATCTCATTCAAGATCAAGTTTATGAAACAAAAACACCCATTTTTCTGCTGTCACAAATGGTGGTTTTTATTTGAATTTTCAAACTTGACCTCCAAATAACTCCCATCTAATATCTGAGATCATCGATAAAGTGCTTTTTGTAGATACAAGTCTTTTTCGAAAAAAATTGATGGTCAAGATTTCTTGGTGCTCGTGTACCTTTCAGATGTTACAGTAGGCGATACTGTTACTTATGGCAACAAAATGTGTGAAAATGCAGTCTGAAGTAGAATATATTCTAAATGTTATGGGCAATCAGATGGCAGGTGTAAAAAGTATAAATCTATATGTATACCTGTTCTCACCATTTTTGAGGCTTATTGAGAAGATAAAACACAGAGTTTGACATAAGGAATGATTAACCTGTCACACACTGTAGGTTAATTTTTCACCAGAGCAAATGAGCAATGGTGGCCTGTATATGCATATATAGAACCACCTAAAAAATGTGACTGCAATACTTCGAGAATGGTCCAGTTCTCTATGCTTGAAAATCCCACACAAAGATTTTACTTTCCAAATTCCATGTTTATGCAAGAATACCAAACGGATTCACAACTTTCCTTACGAAGACGCGAAGTTTAATAATTATGAAGTATAACGTAACATTGGTCAACTTTTATCCTCAAGAAGACTCACCTCATATTACAGTTAGTATCTCATATGCAAATAGAAACTAATCTGTTATCATAACCGTTATCACATAACCATTACGCGTCGTGCACGCGCAAATTTTTTCAGTTGTGTCCGTTACTATTTTGTCGTTCTAGACAAAACTGTCAATTTTATTTGGTACTTGACGATTGCCAATTTAGGGTGACCGACAGTAGTATTAAAAAACGTTTCCTTTGTAACTGCAAATTTTATTTACCTGATTGTTTTTGTGCCTTCTGTGATCCGGATCCACTGTTGGGGCTATTTTTACTGTTTTCAGAGGTATTGCTGCTGCTGCTGTTACCCACCAACAGGTTTACCCTTTGACCAGAACTGCCAGGTATGCTCTTCACGGAGCCCACTGAACCATTTGAGATGCCATTGAATCTGGACGAATCTGATGACAGAGGTGAATCATCTATAAAAGACAACTTATAGACTGCACTGTACGGTTCGTTTATGCTGATGAATTTACCGCTGTTTATGTTTTTTAACAAGTTTACATCCAGACCATCAAAACTGGTGACCACTGAATGTGCTGTAGCTTGCTTGTAGTTCTGCAGGGTCTCTTGCTGTAATTGGAAATTATGATCAAAGTTAAACACAATTTTGCAATGACATGGATATCAGTACATGCTGGGATGTGTCTTCAGTGGTATTTAGGACATGAAAGATGATTATTATCATTTAAAACCCTGCGTCATGTCTACTTTATACCATTTTCCAGTTCTCCATTGATTTTTTCAAATGCCAATATCAGTGTAGCACAACATCAAAAAAGTGGAGTGGTGAAACATTTCAACTGTAGCTGTAATTATAGGAAATAAGAATGTGGAGAACTCACTTCCTGTTCTGTGGTTTCAGAAGCAAATCCTGAGGTATCTAAATCATGATCATCTGTTTTAACATTAACATTATTAGCAGCATCTTTTTCATTTGAAACAGGTGCCTGTGGTTGCGCCTTATTTTTGTCCTTCTTAGATTTAGCTGAAATAATTTCAAAATAAATTTTATGAGCTTGTACTTTTGCACTCACCATAAAATTAAATCTTTCAAATCTAACTGAAGATATTACCACATACAAAAAGGTAGGTAATACCAATGATTAACATATTCTACCTAAAGAACAACCACGAGTGTATTTCGGCGTGCAAGAAATTATCCGAGATGAAATACTGAGAATTTGTCACAGCTGTTTCTGCCCTTTGCTTCAGCTGGAAATCGTCTTTGAAAAGGCACATCTATGAGACGCGAACATTTTCAAAGTTCACTGTTGTGAAAAATGATCATAGATGACACCATGGTATCTCATTAGGTTAGCATTCTTCAGGTATAATATAGGGTGATTCAAATTGGATTTCCTCATTAAAAGTATTAAAAAAAATAAGTAATTGAAAATTATAAAAAATAAGTATTTGTCCTTTCAGGGTAGTTCATTACAATTATGCATGAAAGATGATATCAAGTAAATGACCGCCGCGACTCATGTGGCATGACGTAATCCGTTTCGAGAAATTTTCGACTACTCTGTGGCACAAATCAGGTCTTATGTTGGTAATTTCGCGACTGATCTCCTGTTTCAATTCCGCAATTGTGTTCGGGTTATTCTTGTAGACTTTGCTCTTGAGATACCCCCAAAGAAAATAATATAAGGGAGTTATCACAGGATCGCGGCGGCCAATTAATATCGCCGTTACGTGAAATAACGCGACCTGTAACGCAGTAATTGTATCGTTTCTTCTGATGTGTGACCTGGGCTTCATCTCCTGTGTTATTTGGACTCTGTATGGGTGTAACTTCAAATTTTTGATTAAAATCCGCTGTGGAGTGGAATAGGTAAGGTCCAGTTGCCGCGAATCGATATTCTTGGATTGTCAGCCACACTTTCGGCAACAATAGCAATATTGTGATCCAACCGACCTCTACGAGCATGCCTAGGGGTTTTGATGTTAACGACGGATACAGTTTGCTCGAATTTTTTTGCACCTAATTCCACATTGTTCTCTCACAGGGCCGATTTGTGCGCCAAAAAATTTATGTAAAGCACGAAATGTATGCTTCCTTGATCGGCCGTTTTCATTATAGGCTTGGATAATTTTAACACGTTATTTCATGACTGTTTTGTTTACATTTTGACGTTAGAAATGGCACGTTGTCGTTGACAAATTCAGTAGCGTTTCAAAAAAAAATTATTTGTAATGTGGAAATTCAATTTGAATCACCCATTACATTACACAATGGTATTCCAAAACAACTAGCAGAGATCAAAGTATTTTGAAGATAAGACAATCATATACATGTAAACATAAAAAATGCGGACAATAATAGTCTCACTTCGATCAACTATAAAATCAACATCACTAACAGGATGTCTGTTTAGTAACTATCATGACTGTCAGATGCTACTGTGAATTCCAAATCCTTAATTAATTTTCCTCTGCAACTGTTGAATTTTAAGATTTACCATATTTTGTGTAAATAATGCTTACTTGGTGGCGTGCAATACTTCAAAAATCCGCTAGCGGTCCCATTTAAATAATACTGAACAGATTGACGGAATTTCGAGGCTCTTTTATCTTCAGGAATGCCAAAAACTGCTACAACCAAAACATCCATATTCGAAGGGGATGGCAAGGTGCCTACATATTCTGCCAGTTTCTTTATGTTACTTTCTGCACTCTGAAAAATCAAAAGTAAGTGTAAGTCATTGGTATTTTTTTTATCACATCACATATTTTTTTAGAATGAAGATGCTAGAATATTTTTTCTTCAATCTGTAACTTTGTTGTAGTATGAATGTTCACTCAATAAATGGAACTATTGGTTTTTCAAGTTATCTATGACTATACTGTAACTTGAACAACTTACATTTTCTCCTTTGGTTAGACCCAGCTTCTTGTACAGGTCCTGGAGATCACTTTCTGGTAACAAAAAGTTTCCTAACAAAGCAGCCATAATGCATACTTGTTCTTGAGTTACCTTTAACGTCTTTGTAAGCTCGCTTATCATGTACTCTTTGGTTTCAACAGAACCCTACAATAGAACAAATTGTATGTAAAAACAGTACATTTCCATTGAAGTACTTTGGAACAATGCATATAAATAATAGTACTAACTGCCTCTACACTATATACAACTAATCAATATTGTTGTAGTGTAATCATATATTGTTAGTTACTATGCATAACTCTAAATACTTTGTTTTCTTCCAACAATGGATTGTATATTAATGCACCATTCAAATGAAAAATAGATAATTTATTGTGCAGAAAATCTAAGTAAATCATTACAGAATTATGAAATTTAGTTACCTTATATGTGAGCTTCAAATTTTCTGCAGAAAAATACCTAGGCGGGTCAAACGCAGCATATTCTGCATCGTCGGCAAGCAAACCATGAAAACCATATTCTCGACAATAAGCTATAACCTCTTGATGATGATCATCCATGGTACACATCTACAAACACATTTAAACAATACCACATACATTTCAACATAAAATTACTAATTTTTTAGTAGGACTGAACTAAGTATTTCACAGTAACAAAATCTACTATCAAAAGGAATACTCACCACTGTAACACCTAAATGCCTAAGAGCCATCCTTAGTGCTGACCTGAGACATGTTGGTGGAGCCCACCAAATTTTCGGTGGTGGGGTGGCTTTAGTGTTGATATGCTTCAACACCATACCTACGCGCTGTCTGATGTTTGCTTGTTCAGCCACCCATTCATTCATACGACACTGCTCAATAGTGCCATTGAAGACGACTGCCAGTTCAATGTTGCCGCGTTCAATAGCTCTAGTCAGTAATGAAAGGAACTGTACCATACGGTTCCATTGACCCCCACATGCCCAATCTTGAAAAAAAGAGAACAACTTTCATGAGACATGCAATGGTGAAATAATAACTTCTTAAACCACCTTTGCCATCTGTTGTGAGGTGCTACTGTATAAAAAATACATTAAATCCCTCATCTCACCACCCCTCTACCGACAAGCGAAAAAGCATATTTTTGAAATGTAGAAAGTGTATACTTTTTTCCCATGACATTTGATCACGTTCTGTTTTGTCCTGCACGCGGATTGCATCTTGAGACGCCCAGAGTAGCGTTTTGAAAAAAAATGTTTGCCTATTACAAATCAGCTAAGCTAGAGCAGTCCAGGAGTGCAGCACTATTATTCTAAATAGCAGCAACCTTGGGATAGATTTTTCAATTTGACAGCAGTTTCCACTAAACTGTTAGGTTTAATAGTTGTTTATCAAATGATGCAAACTGTTTCATATCTGCTGCTATTGGAAAGCTTCTCTAACTACTAGGTCAAAAGTCAAAATACAGCTAAAATGGTGAACAACTAAAATATGCACAACTTATTGTAAATTGTTTGATGAACTTTGCATTTTTTTTGTATTCCTGCAAGAAATATATTCTTTGTATACTTTGAAATAACAATTATTATTGTTATTGAAAACAAAGACACATGTATGTTTCAAATGAAAATATGGAGTATTACAAAGATGGATTTATAAAAAATGAAAGTTCTACAAAGGTAATATCCCAATTATGCAATTGTGGAACACAGACAACAGCAGTGGCATGGTAGTAGGGTAGATGGTGGGCGCGGGTTCGAATCCTGTGCCGAGAGAATTGCTCTCTGGGCTATGTATGTTGTGATTGTTCATAGGTAGTAGGCAGTCTTTGACTGCAGATCGTGAAGGTACCACCCGGTTCTCTAAGCCAGGGCCAGAATACTAAACTAATGTTGAAAATAATTTGTCTATATAGTTTTGTCCCTCATAAAAAAGTGCTTAAATTCAGACTTGTGCTCATTGCAGATAATGTAAAAACAAGTTTTTCTACTAATAATGCATTGGCTTATGGAGCAATGAAGTATGAATTCGTTTTCTAAAGCTATTTAGGTAAATATTCATATTTGTCTATATACTTTTGTCCATTACTGAATATCTATTTCTGTTTGGCCCCATGTGCATTTTTTCCAGGAGTTAATTCATGAAGTGTTTGAGTAAAATATTTTTGTAAAATACCAACTATGACCATCTTCAACTGCAAGGGTATATTCGAGGACTCAGTGCTTTATTTCGTCAAGTGCAAATAGATTCAAAACTAAATACACAACACATGCATATGCCATAACTTAACATATGGAAGTGATTGCATCTTTAATCTGTACATGACAGTGTCATAAGTAATTCTGTACACTTTTTATATGGAAATTTGATTTTCCAAATACCATTTTACAGCAATTCCTTGACATAAAATAACAGCACAAGCAAGTGGCATTGAAGAATAGAACACAAGACACTGCTACTGCTATGGTTTTATTTGACTATTTTTTATACAGGGTGTAAACGTTATGATGTCATTATTTAAATGGGTGGTAGAGGGGGTTAAAAGAAGCAAAAAGTTTCATATAACATGGGGATCAGAACAACATTTTTTTAGAGAAAAGCGACTTGAAAGTAAATAAAATCTGACAATGCTGCAATGCCAGACGCAAATTACGACGGAACGCAGTGTAAATAAAGATGGACTTTGTTATTTTTGGCTCTTAGGTATTATTTCATTATTTGATAATGTACTCGTAAAATGCAAACAATTAAAAAAACGGACTTACCACTAACTGTCTCAGCGCTTCACCTGGTGTATGTAAGTTTATTGAAAAAATTAAAAAAAATCCACTTATAAATAGGGAACACAATTTTGATACATACATTCTTTTCTTTTTAAAACCCACACTGCACTTTTTTGTATTTAAAGAAGGTGTTCAAAATGTCATCCTCCACTTTCCACACAAGCTTCATTACAACCTTCACGAATGGTATGAGGATTTTCTGTAAGTATTATGGAAATTTAATATCCCGTCTCGCGTAAAAGTACATTCGTCCGTCGCTAGAATGTTTTTACTAAAAATCCGAATTTTCAGTCTTTTTGTGCAAAAAACACTGACAGAATGTTAGTCTACGAGGATAGTGTTCTGGTAACAAAGCCTGCACTTGTTGTACATGGTAGGGATAAAGCAAATTTTCCCATAGGATTCTATGGACTATGGTATGCGATAGTCCTACGTGGCGGCCTAATTCCCGAGTGCTGATATCTGCATTGATTTCCACGATATTTAAAATTTGTTCCTCCTGCTCTACAGTAACCTGTCACAAGTGCGAATATTAGTGGGCTGAACACTTCCTGTATCTCGAAGTCTTTGGTACCCTTGCACAAATGTCCTTCTGTCTGGGTGTACCCATTGGCGAAATCTGTCGCGATAAATTTGAGCTGCAAGATTTGAATTCTGACGAGCTTCACTGTAAACTAACAACATGTCGGCGAACTCTTGATTCGATAACATTGTAAATGAAAACGACGACTTATGCGAACAAAAACAAAACCAACATACCAGCCACTGTTACAGTTTGTGATCGATTGCCGGTTCGATAAGAGTGATGATGACCAACGCGCTGTTGTCATGTGTGTTTCAAATACTCAATTTAATGACAATTACTTACTGACTACAAATTTTGGCCTAACTTAGAAAAACTTAATGCCATTTATTTGTTAATTACCCAATTCAAAAACGTTTTAGATTAGATTATAAAAATTAGTAAGATTGTGCTTGATATAAAGCACTTAAAATTGTAAACTATAAAGCTATTTAGACAAAAATCTATTGACTTTTGGACCATGGGTCATATTATGAACTTTTTGACTTGTTTTGACCCCCCCCCCCCCTCCCCCCCCTATTACCCATTTTAATAATGATTACCATAACGTTTACACCCTGTATATTCAAGATCATACTTTTAGTTTAATTCTTTTTGTTTATCTATTTTTTACAGTTATAAAATTATGGATTTATTAACAGCAATACATATCATTAGTTTATTCATTATCATGTTGTTTTAAAGAATACTGTCTTAGTTTTATCACATATTACCAAAAAAACTTGTTTAATTTATCTTTATTACCCTAAGGCTTGCATCACTATAACATCACTCATTTTGTCCCATTATTTCACGTTGAGGTATTGCTGGAAAGTGGTATTTTGGAAAAACAGATGTTATATGTGCATGACCACCAAATAGAGTGTCTAAAAAGCCTAAAATATTATGTGTTCTAGAAAACCAGAAGAAAATGGCTGATCCTCAAAATTACAAAGGGTAGAGATAAACATTCTCAAAATACTAGGCACTTCAGAAGTGATAAATATGCCATTTCTGACAATACAAATAAAATACTTGGTTACGGCTTTTAAAATGGTCAGCATATTCCAGAACAAATATATCCCCTGGACTTCAAAATTACATAGAAAGGGCTTCTTGATCGAATGAGTTAGTTTCTCATTAACAAGAATGTTGTACAGAATGCTCTAATCCATTGCAAGCACCAAGGTTCAAGATATTGAAGATTAAGACCTACCTGAGAAGTATCCACCATACAATCTGTCCAAGCAGTTTTCAGCATCAATGATGAGTTTCAACTTATTACCTATTGGTCTAATTTTACGATTGGTGTTATGAGGTTGTTGTCTTTGAGTTACATTCCTTGCTATTTTCAACAAATCTACGGATACAGCTCCACCTTCCAAACTGGGACTTTCCAAAAACGTCTGAAGATCGCCGACACCCATTTTTAATAAACTAGCGTTTTATTCCTAATCGAATTAGCAGAATTTGTTCATATTTTATCTGCGGAATAAGAAAAAAATGTTAACTCATGAAATATGCATAGGACCCGGTAAAGATTACCAATTATGAAACAACAGCCGCCATAATGGCGACAAATTGTTGGAAAATTTTAAAAGATTTTGGAAGTGTCGTTAGATTTCAAGGGATGACAATGAGTGAAATTCAATTTAAATCAATTAAGTAAAATACTCTCTATTCGAAAAGATGCATCTCTCTAAAATCGGCTACGGTAATGTGAAATTATTTTCATGTAAATGAGAGGACGCCTTTAATTCCATGTTTGCAAACGCCGGCAAAATATGCACTTGCATTTGGACAGTGCTAGACTGCAACTCGTGGGATAACTGGGAAAACTTCAATGCAATATGCCTTAAGGACGGCATCAAAATGTCTAGAGGAAGAATTAAACGTTTTTACTTACTGAAAATTAAAAAATTGATCATTTTCCAGAACAACACATGAACCAAAAACGAAATATTTACCGGAAACCGCCGACTGCACCTTTCTGCGCATGACGGATGTGTCACTTGTTTTTATCTACTACGTGCTTGAAACTCCGCGCCTCGTCTACTTTCTACAACCTCTTTAGGTAAATTTTGCAAGAAAAATTGTAAATCTCAATAGAATATGTCACTTCTGAGGTTATACATATCTGCTGAATCTGTTTTTTCATATCAACATTAGTCATCAATTAAAAAAAAACTTATTTCAGTGTAACACTGGCTGCCTAGTTCAATAAGTGGCCAAGACATGACAAAACAAGTCTTAGGCAACCACAATGACAGGTAGCATAGCTATAATAAGAAATCAACAGATTGGTATATCCAGAATACATTGAGAAATCTCATCCAATCAACCTAAAGAACACAACTAGCATCAGCTGAAATGACCAATCAGTGGGTAGAAGTACTGACGTCATAAGCACGTGCTCTGGGTGAGACGTCAATGGACAGAATATTGAATATAGCCAAGCGTCCAAGGCAGTTATCTATCACTAATCACTATCAGTGAATTGGTCAAAAACACTATTCATATTCATATATCATATTAAATTATTTTAAGTTTTCCATTTTACTGCCGTATTCGTATCGGAGCAAGAGATTTTTAATCCCCAGGTGAGCGCATTTTGAAATACTTATGATGGCAAATACTTTTTATCTTCAATATTATTTATATGACACATGTATAATAGCATTGTTTAAACATTTATTAAATTCTAACAAAGTATAGTCTAATAACTTTAGGATTTGTATATATACAATAGGAGTTTCAAGTGTCCTAGTTACTGAAAAAGACCTGGGGGCCTACCCCAGCTGTGACTATATAACTGCACCATAGGGCAGGTTTCTATTTCAATAAAGCAGTACAATGTTGTGGCATCTCCATCAATTTGGGAGCACCCATGCAATTAAATTTTGAATGACTTTCAACATGAAATATTTATAAAAACCACTAATATCAAACTATTTTAAACTATGAATGCAGCTGGATACATGCTCATATTAAGTATTTCCTTATACCATAATGAGGCAACAGCATGAATTTTGAATCAGATGGAGTCAACGAACTGAAACTTAATCTAAGGATAAAAAACTATAAGGCAGTAGTAAATTTTTTAAAGAACTAGACTTTCACACAAAAATGTTTTAAATAAAAATTGATCGAATGCCTATTAGCAAACAATATTTTCAGTACAACAAACAAATTTAAATGCATTATGAAAACGTAAATCCTTCGATCAAGTAAGATATAAGTACTTTTGATATGTATGATTTTGTTTTTTGGTGCAAAGAAAACAGTTTTAGATTTAGAGGCAGTAAGCGTTAAGGAGATATGCTTGGAAAAACTGACAATGGTCACCAAGTCCCAATTCAACTCATCAGTAACTGCTGCACAGTCATTGGGAACAGTTGTCTTACAGATTTGTGTATCATCAGCTAGAAGCATGAATTCAGAGAAACATGTCATTTTAATAGAAAATCCAACATATTGTAATATATTTTGAGATCAAAAGCAAGTGATTGATAGTTTTGAAAACCATGGGAACTCAAGCAGTACAAGAGCCACTGCTTGATCTCAATCTAAAGCCTCAACAATATCATCAGTCACCTTTAGCAGGGTAGTGGTAGTCAAGACGAGATCAAATTTGAGTGATTCATTAAGCATGTTGTTAACATAAAATTCTATTTCACTAGCCCTGAGTATTCCCTTGAAAAACAGATTAAAATTTTTCATTTATATCCATTCCTTATATAAAGAAAATGAATCGCTAGTTTCATGTAAATCCTGAAAGAATGCAGCTTTTTCTCTATGTTTTGATGCAAGGACAAAATTTCTCCAGGTGGAATTTTTAACATGCATCACAATGCTCGTTTCTGTACCCGAAAGAGCCTATTTATCTGGCTACTGTGTCCGTAAAAAATTATACCAAAACGTGCAATGGACTCAAAGTTGGCATGGTAAACAATTTTAGGGTCTTAAGTTCTACATACTTACTTAATATCCTAATACTATAACAAGTGCTGTTTAACCGTTTTTCTAGATGTTCTACATGTGTAGCACAGGACAGTTCTTAGTCAATATACACTTCTAAGAATCTACCAGAGTCTGTCAGCTTGACTTCTACCCTATCAGCTAAGTGGATCTTCGTAGCTTCGATTTTCTCCTTTAATTTGAATTCTATCGCATTTGTTTTTGATGTGTTCAAGGATAGACTGTTGCGAGCAAACCACCAAAATGCTTTCTCGCATATGCTCAATGTATTTTCGGCTACTTGGTTGAAATCTTGGCCAGCTATAATCACACTACTATCATCTGCATATTGAATAGTACATCTATACATTATTTGGGTTTGCTATACTATCACTCAGATCATTTACAAACATCACAAAGACGAGAGGGCCCAAGACGCTTCCTTGTGGGATACCTCTATCTACTAACTGTGATGAGACAGCTGTCATGTCATACTTTATGATGGAAACACTTTGTTGGCGGTCTGTTAAATAAGACTTGACCCAGTTCCAGGCACTGCCGCTTATCCCAAATGCCTCAAGTTTACTCAGTAAGAGAGAATGTTCTACACAATCATATGCTTTGGAGAGTTCAAAAAACAAACCCAATGAAATCATATCATTTTCCAGACATTCTACATTGACTGTAGCTGAAGGAGTATATAGCCGTATTTATCGATTTCCCTTTTATAAAGCCATGTTGTGATTCAGCAGTTAAGTTATTAAAGTGCATTTGATACATAATTCGTGAATACATCACCAGTTCGAAAAGCTTTGCAAAGCAAGAAAGTAGGCTTATTGGTCTATAGTTTACCAAGTCATTAGGGTCTGCTTTCTTATATACAGGGAGGATTATGGCTAATTTCAGATTTTCAGGAAAAATACCATACTTAAGTGAATTATTTATTATGTAAACTAGGGGTTCAAGAATCACTTTCAAAGAATATTTCAGAATATTAGCTGGAATACCATCATTGCCACTACTCATTTTGTTTTTAATTTTATCCCCCAGCTCCAGTATTTCTTGAGCACTGACATATTCTAGCGGCATACACTGTTCCGCATGGCTTAAAAAGTCAGAAGAGTTATAGGCTGGTGTTTGTGGTAATAATTTAGCGACTTCATTTATACAGTATTCATTGAACGCATGTGCAATAATTTCCGGATTACCTAGTATGACACAATCATTTCTAGTTTGACCTTTTATTTCCTTTATAATACCCCAAACACATTTTGACTTATTGTCCGACTCCTCTATGCGTCTTTGATATGACCTATATCGGGCATCCGCTAATAATTGATTGTACTCTTTGACCTTATATCTTTCTAAACACTGAACTGCTAGGTTCACAACTGCACTTCCACCATGTTTCCCTTCTTTCCTGCAAAAACAAGATGCAAGTTTGAAGTTTCTAATTCCATAGTTGATGATCTGGTCTTGGCTCGTCCAGTGTCCATCAACATCTGGTTTATCTCGTTTATTGAGTTTCCAAGAGACTGAACATTTTGATGGAGTACGGCTATTTTGGCGAGGTTCTCCTTCTGTTTGGTAGTCTTATCTTTGGAGCAGCTTCCAAATCTTACTGTATCAATCGATACATTTATTATTGAAAATCCGGGGCATAGTTGATACTGTCCCTAAACCTGATAATTCTTGATTTATCAACAGGGCAGTTTGGATCACGAGCAGAATGACAATGGCAATTCGCACATTTAAAGTTTACTATTTGACAATTTGTAGCTTCATGACTGCCGGAACATTTATAGCAGCATATGTGCTGTTTACAATACTTGACATGACCAAAGTTTGAGAATTTGAAACAAATGGCTAAATTTATATGCTCTTTAACGTGGACTTTCACTAAATCGAAATTCACTAGACCGCGTTTCAAAAACCACTTTGCGATATCGGGTGGTGTTTGAAGTATCCAGTTTTCTTTATCTGGATTACGACAATTCCTTTTTGTGATGACCTTTACTTTTTCTTCCACTGTAAATTTAATTTATCTCCCATATCGCTGTTCAGTCTTATAAGTTCTTGTATGAAGTCTTTAGCTTTGTAACCTTTTTCATTGCCAGTGATCATGAACATTGGATTCATTTTTTCATTTTGTGTAATTTTTATATCTTTTTTATCTTTTAATATATTTTTTAGCTTTTGTTGTTGAGTTTTATTATAGCTTTCCACCATAACTGCCCCAGATTGTAACTGTGTAATACTTTTAAAGCCTCCATCTGTGTCCTTCAGCATTAATTCTTGTTTAAGTCTATTTACCACTATTTTCGGATTTTCTGTTTTCTCCATTCTTTATACACTACTCGAGTCCGTGATTTATGTAAATTTATGCGCACATAACAGATGTCTTATCTTGCATGCTATAGTAAATGGGTTTTTTGTCAGCTCTTTATCAACAAGTTTGTTTATACTGTCAATTTCCTCAAAAAGTTCTGTATTAGTTCCTTATTCATAATACTCTGATATTGATAGCATTACCGTTTACTAATGTTTTCCATCCCTGGACTTGGCTCCACTTCGGTGGAGTGCGAAAAATTTATGATTTAGGCTTAAATATGTCAGCATCCTCAGACTCATTTTTGTGATCTATAGGTTTAGGAGTGACACCATGTTTATTTCTTCCATACTGGGGAGTGTATTCGTCGTTCTCACAGTTTTTTCTCCATCTTTTGAAAATAGCTTTCAATTTTCACATTAACCAAGGACCAAAGGTCTAGCTTACTCTGACTTTGCGCAACGAAGCAAGTATATGGAACAAAGACATTATAAGTTTATTGAGAAATTCCATTCTATCGTCAACGTGCCGAATATAGATCATATATTAATTCTCAATACTTGACTGTACGATTCGAGGGGACCACTGTTTTGCAAAATTCAATTACTTGTCGATGATGTTATTGTCGCATTCAGCTTTTTCATACACATCAATTTTGAATCTCTGCAATTATTGTGATGCATCCTGTAATTCCTTTACTCGTTTCTCGACAATACATTTTTTCCTTGTAGGCATTCATTTTCTCTTTCTCATCTTTTTGCGTATTTTTCTCACCTTGGCCACCATTATTTTGCGTTTTTACACACATCACAAAATCAAGCAACACACTTTCTTACTATTCACGATCAAATTATCAGAGCAAGGTTCATATACGAGTACATGTACATTTAGGGTGTCCAGCCTGAGGGCAAACAAATTTGTGTTTGAATGAAGATACACATACTCTCTATTTTTTTGCATTTGACTCTAAAAACTCAAAAAATAAATATTATTGCGCTCGAGGAACGATAACTTCCGGTCAAACTTTGAATTTGAAAGTCAATAGGAAAACCATCTATGGGTTTCAAAATCTAATTCTTATTCGACAAATAAAACACTGCTTTATTTGTATCTTATATTTATCATTATAAGAACATTATTTACTAAATTCTCTTCTCAGAGTTTTCTTTTTGCAGTAATAATATACCTGCCTGTGTTCTAACAGCAGTAGATGTTCCCAACCTAAATTCGTGCTTTATTAGGCCATCAATGAAGTCACGAGCAGTCACAATGCCCTTTTCATTATTGCTGTAGCTGAAGTGCATGAAATTTGAA